GCGCTCAGAGAGGGACGCCATTCGACCTGCAATAAAAAAGAAACCATTAGCCATGGGTAAAACAGGGAAAATAACACGGGCACGTCCCCGCATGAAAGGCAAGAAAAACTAATCATCGCGACAGCGTCCCCCTATCTAAAAGCCTCATGGATTCCCCGTCTGAGGAACATTCGAGCGGGGCCTTTGTGTTGATCAACCTATTAACTAAAAGGTACTCCCCGTTTTTGTCGAAGAGGAGGTTGTTGTTCACGTCCACACACCTCACGGGGGAGAAGCTCCTAACATAGGCCGTCAGCTTCTCGTAGAAGAGATGGTCCTGAGCGTCCAAGTCCTTGGGCTTCACATCATAATACTCAGGCCTTTGCTCGAAGTGTTTCCATTGCCACTCGAGCGGAAATCTGGCCATAAGCCAGGTAACTGGTCTCCCATCCTCCACTTCCTCCACGCGGGTGTATAGGGAGTCTATGGCCGCGTCCGTCAAATGTTTTACAACAAAATACCTCTCTTTGAAGTTTTGGACAAATTCCAGATAAGGCCTAAAGAGCTTCCCAAACTGCTTGAAGGACACCAGCACTTGCCCCCCTTCGACGAATTTTCTTTGGAGATGAAAGATACGGAAGAAGAGGGGCAACATGCCCCCTATCTGCAGATACTGGCAGACAAGCTCGAACGTCCGCATGAACGCCATCGTGTTTGGATGAAGTTGAGAGGGCGCCAATTGAAGCCACTGGAAAACCCCCCACTTGGAAATTATTGAAGGACAAACACATCCCTGGCTCTTTAAACACAAATTCATACATAGGAAAACGGTTGCCCGGATACGTCGAGCAGATTCTACAGTTGTGGTGGGGAATTTGAAGGATCCAGTTGGTAGGGGGCCCTTCCGCTTGTACCTCCGGACAGTTGAACGCGTCTGTTGCGTCATGAGAAAAGCACGACCTCTTATTTCGAGGCTCAGGTGCGACCCAGGCCAGAGGGTCCTCATCCACATGGGGTTCATCTTCATAGTTGGCAGGCAGAATATCATCCCCGATCGAGTGCACCATTATACCTAAAAAGCAGGGGAAAACGGTGAATTGGACATTATCAAATTCACCCTTCCACCATAGATCAAGTGAAAGGGCGACGAACTTGACCCAAGCCCTCGACTATACGCTAAAGCGGAATATGTTTTTGTTGGGGATACTCACTCAAACGAGCAAGAAGCCTGAGTCAACCCCCATTATCTGGGGAGATCGTCCCTTATATCATGGCCACTATTCGAGTAGATTGTCCCCGGTATCATAAACTAATGAACTTCAATGAACATTCATGAGTGTTCATCACAAAACTCATGAATATTCGTCCAGTCAAGGCAAATATGAAGTGTTTAATCTAGAAACGCTAAGGAAATATGTCTTTGAGGAGACATAACTTACTTGGATGAAGAATTCTTGAAAGAAATCTGGAAAAGTTGAGAGGAAAGCTTCACGCGCGAGCAAGAGAAGTTGAAGGAGAAAACATGAGAAAATGACAAATGAGACCCAGGGGTCCCCTTTTATAGGTGGCCCACACCCCACGAGGTTCATCACGAAAAGTCATCATTAGATTGGGTCTTTTTGACTCCTCCTGAAGGGATGGCACCCTAAAATAATAGTCACGTGGCCCAACAATCAACCACGTGTCTATTCTCAATAGACGAACACATCCCCGAGTTCAACGCGTAATCCCCACCGAGCACGAGACAGAAACTTCACACGAGGGAATGCTCGACGCCGTGGCTGAAGTGCGTATACAGGTACATTCATCACGATCTACCTCGAGGGTAAAATAACGCTCGACATCGTGACAACCCCTTGTAGACGGACACGTCGAAAGAGAGCTCGCAGAAGCTCCCTGTAACTTATACGGTCCTCTCGGGGAAACAACTGACCCCGTTTGTCTTACTGCTTGTTTGTCCACTAGATCCCTGACACACTCAAACAGGTTATCCCCTACACCGGCAACAACTCGCTTCCTTTCAGAAGACTTCAACCATCCTCCCCGACCATCTGGACTAGGCCTACACTTGTCTCCCAGTTGGGAGGCCCAAGACAACACCCTTGTATAAGGCCCAAAAACAAGCAGCCCAAGTTAGGGACCATTGGGTAACTCCTCACACATCCGTTGGGGAACGTGGGCCACTTCCCCACATCATAGACATCTTAACTGCCCTTCGGAAATCACGGGTCCAACCCTTATTTTCACAGAGCAGTTGACCAGGGGATAGTCTACTTGCAGGACTCCATACACACGTAAGTCTTGACAATTCCCATTATTGGGCCTCAACATGGCCCAACAATGGGGAGCTTGGCCCAACGCTGGGGGCTATAAATATCCTCTCTTCAGAGAGGGTCAGGTATTGAACAATTTCTCACTCTCTTACTTGCTAGCTCATTCTGAATCTCACTTTGGCATTGGAGTGTCTTGCAGGTATCCTCCACCCCACTCTCAAGTTCTGCTCGACGTAAGCTGTGACAGTCCATATATATATATATATATATATATATATATATATATATATATATATATATATATATATATATATATATATATATATATATATATATATATATATATATATATATATATATATATATATATATATATATATATATATATATATATATATATACACGAGATATTTATTTATAAACTCAATTAAATATGAGACATATATTTATCACTATTGAATAAATAAATTTAAGATGATACAGAAAATATTTGTTTTTACAATTATTTTTATAAATATAAATAACTTACAAAATATTTTTATAAATGATAAAAATTCAACTATTTATTCAATTTTTTGTAACATGAATAAATTAAAAATATTTTTATAAATGGTCACATGAGCTCAAAGCATTTATAAATAAGAAAAAAATCTACATGTTGATATAATTATTTGTAGAAACAGGAATAAGTTACAAATATTTTTAGAAATGAAAAAAATTCACCTATTGACGCAATTGTTTTTAACACGAATAAGTTAAAATATTTATATAAACTCTTACACGGGTTCAAAACATTTATGAACGAGAAAAAGTCTACATATTGATATAATTACTTTTACAAACGAAAAAAAGTTACATTAATTTTTATAAACAAGAATAAATTACAAATATTTTTATAAAAGAATAAATTACAAATATTTTTATAAACGAAAAAAAATTCAACTATTAATACAATTATTTTTATAAACGATAATAAGTTTCAAATATTTTTTATAAATGGACACATGATTGCACTTGCTTATAAATAAGAAAAAGTCTATCTATTAGAATAATTATTTTTATAAATGAAGATACGTTACAATTATTAAGTCTATCTATTAGAATAATTATTTTTATAAATAGAGATAAGTTACAATTATTTTTATAAACGAGAAATTCAAATTTGATAAATGATGATATATTATAACTATATTAATGTTAACTAACTGTACGTGAAATGGATTCAGGGATAAATGCGAACGTATCTATGAGATATCAGCCATAGATCGTTCATTTTTATATATTTTTAAAATTTTTCTCCAACTATTTTATATAATTGAAGTTAGAAAATCAAACATACGATTTATTATACATACAAATTAATGTTTAAAAATAAATATATATTATTAACTTATGTATATGACTATGTAAATATTATTCAATTAAATAATTTAATAAATAGGTAATGTTAATCCAGACAAGATAACCTTATATTAATAACGAAACAATATATATAACCTTATATTAATAACGAAACAATATATATAAACGAATGACTTGTGAATATTCAACGTGGCATATCTCCATTCATATCCACCATCTCATCATAATAATTTAGAATCAATAAAATGAAAAATTGAAAGGGGGCAGAAAATCGAGATTTCTTGATTATGTCTGTTTACCAATTCTTATTTTATGATTTTCATTTTTGTTTCTATCTGACTCTCTGAGCATCTCATGATTCTCATCGTCAGGACTCTGGATGCATCGATTCTGCTCAATCAAACAATTATTAACTAATCACTTACATTTGTTTATTAATATAACTAATCAGACAATTTTCCCTTTCCACTGCCCAATAAGTCAAAAACATATAACAACCAATTAATATTAATTTAAAACAACCTTGCTTACCAGCCAAATTAGACTATGAGTGTAGTCAATATCTAAAAAGAGACCGTACACTAATTTTGCTACTTTGTGTTTTTCATGATCTATCTGAATCTAAATTGAACAAATGTTACCGATGACATTAACCAAACAATTAGTTTCGAGTGATAAACGAATTCTTATTAAAAAATGAAAATTTGAGAATAATAAATTTAATTTCTTGTGAGAACTATATTTAATCAGTGTCATTTAATTTTTACCACAAATTTTGAATTACTATGGACCATTTCTCTCGAACTCAGAGTGTATATAAAGAAGAATTTTTTTTACCAGGGACATTAGATTAGTTTAGTATTATTTCTATAGTGCAAAAATAATTAAAATCATAACAAATTAAAAACTATAGTAGATTATTATGTTATATTTATATAATCAAAAAATAAAATAGTATCAAAGTAATAATGAGGATGGTGATAGATGAAGTAGAGGACCATGAATGCTGTACTGATGGGACCAAAACCTTGAGTATAACTTTTAGTCACTATGTACGTACTATACATAAGTACACGTTAAATTTAACCAAATCAAGAAACTAACAACGTGTATGGATCATGTACCACTTTTATTGATGATGATGAGACACAAATCATTAGCTGACTTCAACCCTACATGTTTTTTGAGACCACAAGAATCATATAGGTCTAAAGCAATTTGCAATTGCGACCTCAATATTATAGGTATATGCAACATAATTAACGTTGCAATTGCAATTTAAAACTATGATTACCATAATACGATGGTACCGAGAAGATTGGAGTGGTTTTTGTAACACTATTGTAATTGTAGTCACTTAGTTGCAACTGCAATTTGAAATCATGATTACAATGATATGAGAGTAACGAGAAGATCGGCGAAAGCAGCTAGAATGAACTTGTGTGTATTTTTTGGGTTGAGAGCAAGGTAACAAAGAAGCAATTCATGCAAGATGTTCCAATTTGATTTCACATCCATCAACTCGGGGTGAGCCTCCACCATCTCTTGCATCGATCTCCTGAAATCCGTATAAGGATCAGGAGAATAGGTTGGTACAGCCACGCTTCCGTTGAACAAAACCTTCTCTTTCTCTTCCTTTCTGTTATTCTTCTTCTTCTCACGCTCACGCTCACGCTCAGTACTATTGGACTTGCAATTTGTGTTTGTGTATTCAATTAGCGAGTTCGAACTTCCGGGAGAAGAGAAGAAGAAGCGTTGAGAGGCGAAGGCAGCTGCAAAGTCAACTGGTTTGAGTTCGGGTTCGGGCTCGACATCGAGATTGAATGATGTGGATGTGGTGAAAGTGGTAGAGAGTGAAGAAGTATGGTCGGAGGTCAATGAAGGGTCATAGAGAGAGTTGAAGTTCTTGATCATAAATGATGTGGAAGATGTAGATGAAGAAGGTTTATGATGAATTTCATGATGATCTTGATGTGAGGAAGTTGCACTAGTAGTCGTAGTAGCAGTGGGACTTGTAGGTGGAGATTTTGATAGACTTGAATCTGAAAAGCAGATGTTCAGATTTCTCATATTTCTTGTGCTTGGCGTGTTTGTAAGAAAATGAAGATCTCACCAATTAATATATATATATATATATATATATATATATATATATATATATATATATATATATATATATATATATATTGTTTGGGATGAAAGCAATGTTGCACATGGGGAAGATAACTAGCTAAGGTATCAAACGAATAATAAATCATTAGACAGAAAAAATCAATGATGAATCTTAGTGGTATTATTAATATTGAGATGTTTTCATATCTTATGAGAAATTAATGTAATGTGAGAGAAAATAAAAGTTATGATGAATGAATGTGAGAAAGCCATTAAGAGAAAGCTAGGATTCCAAATAGGAAAAGACAAACCTATAATGTAGTGAGATACTTATGGTTGGTCCATTTCATGCACAAGAAAGTGATGTATCGGACGTTATATATCTTTTCATTGTTCATGAAAAACATCACAACAAAGGCTTGTCTCAAATTTAGTCCCACTTTTTTTTGTTGTACGTGAAACTAATTGTCCTTCATTGTTGTTATAAATAAAATTATTAGTCCTTCATGTATGATATTAATCCTTCATGTTGAAGTGTGTGTATCGTCTTCTTTAGAAGAAAAAAAACGTCTATATTGTATTTTTTTAATAAGTTCTCCTGACTGGAGATAAATATATTTAAAAATTTGAGGATATATTTAATTCCGAATGAATAGAAAATTGGTGATGAATTAAAGAAGTCCATCATAGAGTCTTTTCGCTACATGATGAGAGTCTCTTATTGGTGGAGAGGATGCGTGTTTACATGGTTCGTGCTACAATGCACAAGTCGGTGAGATCACAAAGGTTTAATTTACAATTATATATTGAATTATACTTTGTTGTGGTGCAAAATTAGGCTTATATATGGATCACAGTTAGATCCGCCTCTCATGAGTGGCATGGAACACTAACAACGGTCAAATTGATTACAAAGGTTCTGATAAGTGTGTTGTCTAATTTCGATGCACGATCCCATAGTGAGAGTATAATTTGTTGGGTTTGAGACTTCACACACAAGAGAGAAGTAAATTGTGTGGTTTAGAAAAACATGATTTTGAAAGCTTTTGGCAAAGTAAATCAAATCAGAGTTTAAAAATTATTTTCAAATAATAATCAGCGAAAAATAAATAGCAGAAAGTAAAAGTTAAGGGAAGAAGAAGGACACGGAGAATTATAGAGGTTTGGTCAAAACTAAAGGACCTACTCCTCTCCCCATGATTTGGATTTGAGATTTTCCAATAATACTTGAGAGCTTTTAGTAGCAAAGGCTCATGAACTCCTTATACAAGGAAATAGTGGTTGATCTTCAACCAAATATTACAAGACGATGGATATGGGCGTTTGCGTCTTTTCTCTAATAAATTGTTAAGAGTGAAGTTGACATTTTCTCTTCCCAACTGCGAATTGAAGTGGTTAGTCTCATTTCCATGAACATGGACCTTGTAGCAATTAGTCTTAAAGTCCAAAAATAACTAAGCTCAATAGTTTTTGTTTAACATGATAACAAAATAACCTCAAAGATTTTAATCAGGTTAATCTCAAACCAGAATTGATTTTAGCAATACAAATCATAACCTCTTAGATTTTAACCGGATTAATCTCAAACCTATAAAGATTTTAATATTGACTAGTCTTCAACCTTAAAAGGATCCGATCACACAATCTCCAACCAAAGTTTTTATCAAGTTTAGCTTCTAACCACATATTTCATCCCTAATTGGATTGTATTCAACCAAGGTGTATAAACAACATTTCCTTGGTGATTTTACAATTATACCCTCCCATAGTTACATTGAAATCCTCACTCACAAAAGACTTTTCTCACAAAAGGATTTGGCTATAGCATCTAGTGAGAGAAAGTTTAAAGAAAACATTATAGAGAGTGAGAGAGGGAATTGTCAAAATATGTTTCTGGATGATTTAAAATGAGAAATGAGGCATCTATTTATAGGCAAAAGGAGTGCCCAAAACGGAATTCTCATTTAATTATTTTTACCGTTGGCTAATAAATTAGCACTTTGGTCTAATTGATTAGATTTTGAAAAATAGTCGTTGGTAGTCATTCTAAAAGTAGAGAAGATATATCTAGCTGTTACACATCATTGAGGCGCTGTCTAAATAGCTGTTGATTATGTATTTTAATGTACTATTAATTCATTACTGTCGATTTAGACACCTCTGGTTGCTTATAAATTTTTGAAATACAATAAGTTCCTCTGTTTGCTTCTTTTGCTCTAGAGTTCCATACTTTCACTCTTTCATGTGATATTTGTGAGTGACCTTCCCACTTCCTTCGATCTTCATCTTTGTTCATGTAATATTTCTAGGTATTTAGTGGTCATGTTTTCATTTCTTTGAATTAAACTCTACAAACCATCTAGGTAACATTTTCTTTCTTTACCCTTTTTATTCTTGCGTAGAATAAATGTTCGGCCGACTTCCTCTCTGGAGGTGAGGAAAGTCACGAAAGTAGGTTTGTAGAATTATTTGGGATTTGGGAGCTACGCCAGTGTGCGTATTGTCCCAAGAGAAGTGTCTTGCTTATCCATATGGTGGGAGCCCCTTATATAGTATTACTTCTTTGCATCATCAAGAGCCTCAACTAATAAGTGACTCTTGAGTTCCATAACTCTGTAACCTCCGCCATCTCCATGAATGGAGGGGGTTAAGGCTGTGTAACGTTGTAGTAAATGCGCCGTTGTCAGTTATGAACATTAATGAGCCGAGTAGATGATCGATTATGGGCGGGAAACCTCGGTCTCCACCCCTAGTCGGGTCCAAGGTACATACGAGCTACAACCTAGAGGCGTGATGACCGTCCAATATTCCTTAGTTGGGTTGCACCCCAGGCACCTCCTTCATCGAACCAACTACTATCTTCACCACTTCTTTCACCGATTACACTACCCGGTCGAGCCTAATATTTCTTGGATGTACATAAGCCCCCCAAATTCAAATTCTTTCTGCAAGGATGCAGTGTTCGGTCACGTGGTGCAGAGTGAAGAGTCGTCACTTTCTCTTTCCTAGAGTAATGATGACTTCCATCAAAACTCCTGTTCATTGGGTGACGTTTCTTTTCCCTAGGGTACTATTTATTGGGCTTATTAAAAACCCTTCCTTCTTTCCTTTTTTATCTTTGTTCAAAAAGGCGTTACATCTCCAAGAAAGCGTTTAATCTTCTTCAAGTGTTCATCGATTTTCCAGGTATTCTCTTTTACCCTTTCATTTTTGTTTTTCTCCTTTTAGATTATGGTTACCCTAAGAGAGTGTGATGATGAGGGGAATATTTTAAAACCCTGTAATGCTGAAGAGAGGAAAGAGTTATGGGACCAATGTGTTTGAGAGGTGAAGGGTGCTTTAGGGAAGAAGGAGTTTAATCAGATCACATGGGAAGTTTATGGTTTTACCCTCGCTTCTTTGAGTGATTCTGACCATAATTCTTCTTCTTTAGTTTCCATAGTATTTCTGATGGAAACGTTTGCTCCTTTCAACCTCGAGGTCATAGTCTACAAGAATAGTGTGCTTAATGACATGGAGATCTCCAAACTCCGGTCTCTAATGAATGTCTTCTTGACTGAGGAAGAAGGCGATGTTATCATGGAATCATGCATCTCTGGAGAGCGTGTCTGCATACTCCGTTGGAATTCCACTGATGAAGATTTCTTTAACTTCTATGTCGGGATTCTGGAGGATTTTAGAGTCCGAATACCCTTTTTTAAGTTTGAGGCTCGTACTGAAGGCCATGAATTTTTCTCCTTCGCAACTCCGCCCTAACAACCGGGGCTTCATAAAGGCCTTTGAGATAGTCTGCGAGGTAAAAGGGGCCGAGAAGCTTTCCTAGATCTAGGTCAATTGTCTTCCTCACAAGAGTTTTCTCCAAGTGTATACTGTGAGGTCAAGGTCCTTCTATATTTTTTTAATGATGTCAAAATGTTTATTGCTTTCTCTTGATCTGGGTTGGTTCTATGGACAAACTTTCTAGTGGAATGGTTGTGATGAAGATCTCTAGAAACATTCATTTTGGGGAGATTTCATTGTTTGCGTCAACTCAAGCTAGAGTTAGGTCGACTCGTAGCTTGAAGAAGATCAATCCATCAAGCTCGGGTCTGCTTGCATCCACCCTACCGGTCGACTCACCCTGGGAGAAAAGTTCTCACTGTTTGTGTCGACTCAAGCTAAAGATATGTCCACTCATAAATTGAAGAAGACCAATCCATCAAGCTCGGGTATGCTCGCGCCAACCCTTCTGGTCAAATCACACTGGGAGAAAAATTATTTTTGTTTGCGTCGACTCATGTCCTATTACGGTCGATGCATTTCTTCCTCAAAGGTATTCCTACAATGCTTGGGTGTGCTCGCATCGAGTGGAACTCCTGCATGAGTCGACCGCTCGCTTCTTGCACTCAATTTTCTGATATGTTTTTAAGTCTTGACTATTTGGTAACATATATATATATATATTATTTGGCTTTCATCATTTGGGGTTAACAAGATAAAATGAAAGATATACACCAACTTCTCATCATCTCCATCATCTCCTTGCATTCATCAATAATTACACATAACAATTTTTTATTTATTAAAGTGCAGAGCTGTGGTGATAAAGTTCAAATTGAAGATTGATTTCAGATCTGGGTTAAGAATTGAGTGGGTTTTTTCATGAATAAAACCATTAGGGTTTTGTCCTCCAAGATTCCATTTGGTGCGGGGTTTTTTGCACATGTCTTTGCTTCATTGAATTCATCCGAGTGAAAGGGTTGAGAAATAGTGGGTTTGCTCAATCAAGTAGTGGTAACCGAAGGATTATAAAGAAAGATTTAGGGTCAAATTTTTTATGATCAAAATCAGCCGAGTGAAATATTTGTAGAACGAAGAGTTCGTGCAATCAAGTAGCGGTAACCGGAGGTTTGTTTGAAGAGATTGGCATACTTGGTTTGGTTTGAACCAAGGGGAGAGAAGAGAATAGTGTCATCATC